CAGCAGACTCTTCAGTTGGTTGAGCCCCAATTCACATATTTTATTATTTTTCTTGACAGAGCCTATTTCAAAATGCACCTAAAATGCTGGATTAATCTTATGGCTCATAACCATCTGCTCACATGTTAAAATGGGTTACTCACACATATGAGAAAAATATTAATATGCCCTAAGTATGGAAGAACACGTACTCTGCACCTGCATACCTAAGTACATATGAGCACATGTATATGGAACACACACACTTGCGCATACAACTGAAAAAATACTAGGCTAGTATTTGTGCCAGAAGTATGAATTCATAAGAAAAGATGTGTTGAACTCATGCTACCACTATCATTTTAAGTTCAATATCCAGAAGAGGATTACCAAGTACATTCTCTACAGAAACCATCCCTTCAGAAAACTGTTTCTTAATCCACAATGAAGTACCCTACCAGGACTTCCCTCACCTCAGCTCATGGACAAAAGCATTCCACTAGTGGCGTCCCCCAGGGCTCGGTGCTGGGGCCGGTCCTCTTTAACATCTTCATCAATGATCTGGATGACGGCACTGAGTGCACCCTCAGTAAGTTTGCAGATGACACCAAGCTAGGTGCGTGTGTCGATCTGCTCGAGGGTAGGAAGGCTCTGCAGGAGGATCTGGATAGGCTGCACCGATGGGCTGAGGTCAACTGCATGAAGTTCAACAAGGCCAAGTGCCGGGTCCTGCACCTGGGGCGCAATAACCCCAAGAAGAGCTACAGGCTGGGAGAGGAATGGCTGGAGAGCTGCCAGGCAGAGAAGGACCTGGGAGTGATGGTGGACAGTCGGCTGAATATGAGCCAGCAGTGTGCTCAGGTGGCCAAGAAGGCCAACGGCATCCTGGCTTGTATCAGAAACACTGTGACCAGCAGGGCTAGGGAGGTGATCGTCCCCCTGTACTCGGCTCTGGTGAGGCCGCACCTCGAGTACTGTGTTCAGTTTTGGGCCCCTCGCTACAAGAAGGACATCGAGGTGCTTGAGCAGGTCCAGAGAAGGGTGACGAAGCTGGTGAGGGGCCTGGAGAGCAAGTCCTATGAGGAGCGGCTGAGGGAGCTGGGCTTGTTCAGCCTAGAGAAGAGGGGGCTCAGGGGTGACCTTATTGCTCTGTATAAGTACATTAAAGGAGGCTGTAGCGAGGTGGGGGTTGGCCTGTTCTCCCATGTGCCTGGTGACAGGACGAGGGGGAATGGGCTAAAGTTACGCCAGGGGAGTTTTAGGTTGGATGTTAGGAAGAATTTCTTTACTGAAAGGGTTGTTAGGCACTGGAACGGGCTGCCCAGGGAGGTGGAGTCACCATCCCTGGAAGTCTTCAAAAGACGTTTAGATGTAGAGCTTAGGGATATGGTTTAGTGGGGACTGTTAGTGTTAGGTTAGAGGTTGGACTCGATGATCTTGAGGTCTCTTCCAACCTAGAAATTCTGTGTGTGATATCATTCAAGGAGAAAGCAGTTGAGCAAGGAAGTTCACTATATTTTATATACTAGATTCAACCTCCAAGAAGACTTAAGCCACCACCCTTTGCAATGTACACAAAAATATCAGAGGGCAATAAAAATGTTACTGCATAAAAAAAAGGTATGAGGTTATTTTCCAAGTCCAAGTGGGAAAAATAATCTGTTATTGTTACCGCTTCTGTCGATTATATCCAGCAACATATGGGAAACGAACCTGAGATCCAATTTACAACTACAAGTATTATTTCCTACCAAAGCATGTATGATTCTAGCTTGGACTTCCACTTGTTTCAGCTGGTCGCAACCTTCAACAACTACCAGTTTGGCCACCTCAGAGACACTTACCAAGTGGACCTGCTTTTCTGAGATCAAAAACATCTTCCTTTAATGTTTTTTTTTGTTTGTTTGTTTGTTTGTTTTTGTTTTTTTTTTTTTTAATTGGGAAGCAAAGGAATACATAAAATGGGGATAGTCAGAATATTTGAACTAAACCTGCAAATAAAGCAGCTAAGCTCCAAATTGGGGACACGCTCTGACTTATTTCCCTGTAGGGTTCCTGCCTGCAAAAATTGTCCATTAAAAAAGAGCCTGCCAAGGCAGGCTGCAGGAAGTAGGACAACAATATTTCACAAATTTCACTTTCACCAATGATTCCAAATATACAGTCTGAAAATACCTTATTCTCTGACACCAACCTTAATAGAAAACAAAAAAAACACAACAAAATGACTTGATAGCAAGTTATCAAGCAATCATCCAAAAGCCTTTTGAACATTTGCATCTTTTGACCATGTGTAACCAGCACTAAAATTGTGCCTATCAGCTGGTGCTTGATCTCTGAAAGTCCACAAAACTTTCTTTGAGAATTTTGTCAAGAGAACAGAAGAAAAGCAGATTAAAAACTTGTAACATTCAACACACATCCAGTATTTGAAAATCCCTTTACCAATCCAATGATTGAAAACTGGAACTTAAAACCAGTTCACCATTAACAATAACACTGTTTACAAAGACTACGGTTATTGCACAATAAAATAAAAAAGAGGGGTGACTAATTTATACACACAACAAAAAATCCACAAAGAAAACTCAGAATGGAGGGAGCAACACTCAAGAATTCCTGCAGCACAAGACCTATTTCTGGTCTGCTTGCCCTGTAAGACTAATGGCTGCAAACAAAGTTACATGCTGACCCACTATTTATATTTGAATTAAGTTCACAATTGTTGCATGCATCAAGGTACTGTGTTGCTTTTAAAAAACACTACTCAACTATCACCACAGCAAATACTATTTACCTTGTTCACCATCTGATGCAAACAAGTCTGGCTCTGCTGTTTTACAAACTGATAAAGCTTTTAATGAAATTAAGAAAGGTCAAGATATTCTTTGTGGAGAACTGCTAGCCAATTTCCTCAAGTGCAATAGAATACATAGCTTTTTTAAATTCATAAGCTATTGATAAGCAAATCACTCTCTCAAAGCCATATAATGGCAAATTTTCTCTAACATCAAACTTCTCGTCTTAGTATCTTGAACTGTCTGATACAGAAAAAACTCTGAATCATGGCAGACAGGAAATATCAGCTTCCTTGGACACTTTTGTATTAGTAAATTCCAAGGAACCACATGCCCATTAACTCTCAAAAAGTATTATATCGAGTTAGATTTCTGCAAAGCAACCACAACATTAAACGTAACCAAGAGAAGTTTAAGAGATCAGCTTCTGTTTTCCTTCCATCCAGCATATGCATGCCAAGAAGAACTTGAAGCACTCCTTACTATTCATACTCCTCTGGCAGTGATTCCACTAGTAGTTACTTTCTCCTATTACTGGGTATTATTTTAGCTCATAATTGTACACAATCACTTCAGTTCAATTTCCAGTCTCCACATGCACTCCCTATTAATCTCCATGTACTGAAAGAGACACAGCCTAGACAAGCTTTAGATTCAGATTTACGTTTTCCATGACTAGTTCAGTATGAAGCTTTTTCAGAAAGATCTTTAGTTAACTTCAGATACTAAAGCAGGTCTTACTGCCATCGGTGAACCAAGATCCCATGTGAAGAGGTCAGTGAATTTAAGCAGTTTGCTCTCCCACCATTTGTTTACATTTTTGCTCACATTTGGAACAGCCAGAAGCTGATATTGTTGACAGACAAAAGGAAAATGATTGCAGACTAAGCAATACATTCATGAAACAGGTCAACATGAATGAACTGAAAACATTTCCTTGGGGACATCTCCTTTCACAGCTAGGCATCAGGGAGTATTCCCAATAGCATCTGTTATGTCTGATATGTAAGGAGTTACCAATCCAGTTCAATCACTTGCACAGCCAGACACAATTAGCTTGACTGATATAAGATGTATGATACTTTTTAAGAATGAATTTCTTAAATCAAAACCTAATTAACATCTTTAGCTATACTATTTGATATCACACTTGATAACAGTGATTTCATACAAGTATCATTAAAGTGAGGAAAATGGTGGCATTACAAAGGAGGACCTAATACAGTGTTAATTCATAGAATTACACTAGTTACAAAGTTCTTTCTGTTAGGCTTGATTATAAGAATTCCCTATACTTAGCTCTACCTATAAAACAATAAGAATTAAAGAGTTGCTAACCATCGAGCCTTAAGACTTGCAACTATGATCAAGTAAGTAACTATTTACTCTTCAACAATTTTACATCGTTTAATCTTGTCCTTAGACATGCTGTTTTAATTATACGCTGTTTCCAAGCTCACTAAAGGTATTTTTCAAAGATTTTGGACAGTAACAGGACAAAACTCCATTAGCAACCTTTTAGTATTACAAGCATCATTTCCAGATGAGAAGTCAGAGCCAGAGACACACTTATAACAGTAATGTGTACAAGGTCAAAATAATTCTGACAAATTAAGAATCTAGACCAGGATTTATCAACATTTTGTCCAAAGCCAGTCTTAACACTTTCTAAATGACATTCACTTATCAAAACATTATGGTATAGAAATAATAAATCTGTTTAGTCTAGTAATGATTTTCCTTTGTTCTCTCTGCCACTTTTCTTACATGTATTAAGATGGAACAAAGTCATCTTTTCAACTATTTGTTCTCATACCAGTGAAAGGCACAGCCCTTTTTTCCTAAGACTTAGAGAACTCATTTATTTTATGATATTATCCTCCAGTATCTAGGTTTCCTCCCTGGAAACTGTTTAAAAATAGTCAATAGCTGTAATGGTCAAGTTGTCTCCTGGCTGTTAATCGCAGTGTTTACTTGGAGCTTCAATATTCATGCATTGCATTTAATTTTCACCTTGATTTCTCTTTTCACAAACACGGCAAAAGATGTATGTATTTAAATAATATGTATTTAAAAGATGTATGTATTTAAATAATATGGATTATTTAAAAAAACAAAAACTATACTAATAAGTACAGGCAGCAGATAAAGGTTTTAAATTTGTGTAATTTCTCATTCTACATCATATTGCATAAAGAAAGGTAAAAGTAAACAGAACCTTACCTCAAGATTAAACTTCATTTCATAGAAAATAAGCCTGTCAGAGAGTATTGCTTGACCATGCAGAATGTTTCCAGTAGCCAGGTCTGTAACACAGGAAACAAACAAGTTACTTTCTTATCCCCAGTCCATTCATTTCTAATTTTGAAGTACTTACTGCCAACACACTGAAAAGGAAGCAACTCAGGAAGTTATGAATTTCCTTTTCTCTTTGAGAGTTGGAATTAGCATTGCAGAAAAAAATAAAATACAATCTTAAGACAATCAAATTCAATCCAGGCTTCCAAATAATTCACACTTAAAAGTTCATAATAAATTAACTCTGAGTTTATAGAGTTAAATACCTTGAAATTGTCTAATGACTGGACAAAAAGCTTATAAACCTAAATAAAACAGCTACGGCGATCTACGACAGACTACTATTTTGCAATAACACTGCTTTTCTGTGGTTTAAGGTATCTTTGTCAGCTACCTTAGTGTAGAAAACAGCCCAGCAAAAGACTCTCTGGGCTATTTCCCTGCACAGTGACCTCCATTCACTGCAGAGTTATCACTGCAGAAAAAATAAAAGTATATTAAAGGTGCTGTTTGCTTTTTTAGAAAAGAAGAAAAAAATATTTCACAGTTTTAGTTGTTTTGAGGAGATGAGCTTTGTTACTGAGTAGGTTTTAGACATTGCATTCCTTCTGCTTTGAAGGGTTTGCAGATCTGTTCTTTGTTTTTACTTCAAGCAAAAGCCAATTTAGTATGCAAACTTAATACTCATCTCATGCAGATGACCAAATCAGTTGGAACATCAAAATAAATTTCAATTTATCATTTTTTCCCTGCAGTGCTATGCGATGAACAACATCTTCCAAGTATGTCAGTGATTACAGGATTGACTGCTCACTCTTCGAGGCATAGAAATAGATCTGGACAAACAGAAGATGGCCTAAAGTTTGCTGCTATGAATGGCCTGTGTATGTCCCATGTGTGCAGACTATAGTCACAGCTGTTCATCCTCGCTTTTTGATCTCTTGGTGTACTGTCTTACTGCAACTAAAGAGAAAGTTCTGATCCACAACTGATATTCAAATTTGAAGATAATTTACAAATCAATTTAGAAAGACCAAGAAGTTAGAGAACAAAGTTACACGTGTACACACTTACATGATACAAAATGCCTCAATTTCCCCCAGCAACAAAAGAATCCCTATAATTTTTAACCAATAAAAAGCTGGCAAATACATTGCTATAAGAATTAGTTAATCATATTTCTCTTGCCTAGGCTGGTTAGAAAAGTGAAACTTTTTTTTTTGTTGTTGTTTAAAGTGACTTTTAAGCAACCTGCCAACTATGCCAACACAGCTTCTAACTGAAGGTCAACAGATTTATTGCATGTCAGAGTAAATGAAGCCTATATTAACTATTTCAGCATCCAATCAATCATCTGCACTGAAAGTGGCATTACAATAGTTTACGACTTATCAAATCAGACATCTAATCCACACATTCCATTTCTCAATGCAGACCAAGCCTCCAGTAACATGCAAGAATCTACATTTAAGTTTAATTATAACGCACACCAGCAGTCTACACTACATGGATTTCCTGCTAAGATTGAAGGTTAGGATAAAAGCAAGTTCAGTGCACGGAATGTCTGCATATCCAATGCATGCATATCTAATCCCTTAATGTGGTTATACCAGCGTACAAAGAATTTCTCTAGAATGCAAATATTTGTATTACTGTAACATGTCCGAGTCCTTCTCTGTACAGACCATCAACTTGCTAGCCACCATATTTTCCAGAAACCACTATTTACTTTTCCATATTTGCACATACTTCAAATTTCTAAAATACATTTTAAATACCACTGTAAAGTATTTCCATTACATTCAACATTTATACCTTTCTTCATCATTAGTTGACAAAGGCATCATAATCCCTTTCAAATGTGAAGTTGTGAGAGCATCAACCACTAGACTGGAATCATCTTCCCTACTCAGAGCCTTCATCAATTAAGGCTAATACTTACCAGGCTTGCATCAAAAATCAACGTCTAAAGAACATCACATGACAGTACTCTACCTGATGTAGCAGAGGAATGAGATAACCATCTCAATATTGCTACTTTCTAGTTATGCCTGACAAAGTCCTCCAAACAAATTTTCAAATTTAATACAAGCTGATTCATTCATCATTGTTGCGATAATTGGGAAACTGCTTTGAAATCTGCCCTTTTCAGATGCAATCCTGTGACAGAATTTAGTTCTATTGCAAAGGAAAAATGAACTCTTGTTTTCAAGCCAGAAACCAAACATGATGTTAAAGTTTTCCTGCTCTGACAGAACTCAAAATAGATTTTTCTCTAGTGTATCAGAAGGGTCTATCTACTCATGCAGGTGTTAACCCGGAACCTAACTACATAAGACTGAGGTGAATAAACCACCCTCTGATGTTTTACATCAACAGAAGGAACAAAACAATGCTTTTGCACATACGGCCAGAGCAGCCTAATGAGTAGAATATCACATTTCATAATTAAAACTACTTTTAAAACACTACATTCAGTCATCTGCATATTTAATATACGAAAAATGAATGTATCATCTGGAGTCTTAAGAAAATGTTCCATTTTTAGGTTAGCTTGAACAAGTATGACTGCGGAAAGAACATTAATTTTTCAAGTGGGTTAGTTATTGCTGAAGTAGCCATACACTTTTCCTTTTCATTAAACTTACCAAGTGACAATCAGAGCTAAACAGAGCCTAAAAATGATTAATCGCTGTTTATTTATTCTATTGTCCTCACTTCTTGGAATGTAGCCAGAGATGAAACTGTACTGCCCAAAAGTCCTGTCAGCAAATTAGCTGCCCTGAACCCTGGATTTACTCACTGTGTGAGCCTACTTAGTAGCACTCAACCTACCGTGGGGTGAGGACAATGAGTGCATAAAGCACCTCACTCTGCGAGTTTCCACAAAAAGCAGCAGGGCTGAACATTTCAAATATTTTACTTTTTTTTTTTTTTTTATTTTTTTTTTAATACCATAAGTAGTATTTTCCATTGTATACCACTGCCCTTCAATTCCTATTCCCCCCCCCGACTTAGCTGCAGCTACATATCTGTGAAGGGGTTTTAGTTCAAATGCTAGTGATGTTATTTACAGAAAAAGAAGATTGAGTGAAAAAGAAAAACACTGAACTAGCATGCTTTCTCAAGTCCGCTGCAGAATCCTACACTGTGAATTAGAGGTAAACTACAATTTTGCCCTTCATAGATACTTCCCTGGTAGTCTGCATTCTCAAAATTCATCACATTACTGTAATTCACTTCAGTAGTATTTGCATTAGAGGCTCACTGAAATTGTAAGGATAAATTCCAGTATCCTGTCACGCCATTATTTCTGCCCATATATTTCCTTTGGGTTTATATGGGTTTTGCTATGATGTGTGCTTTTTGGTTTTGTTATTGATAGCCAAGCACTGCTGCAGACATGAAAAGGAAATCAAAATACATGGTCTACTAGACAAAGCATGGATTCCAGTGTTTTAGTCCTGTTGGCATTCATCACCATATTACTGTACCAGTCCTGCTACATGAATCTGATAATAACTTAATATTTTTGAGCTATAAGTGGGGAAATAGTTCCTTCCCCCCACCCCTCTCACAACATTGAGAAGTTTAATCCTCTGATTGGAGGTTTAATGCCTCAAAATTTTGCTCCATGAAAACAAGAAGAAGCACATAATGACCATTTTAAGCTTGTAGTTCCTTCACCTTCCTTCAAAACTGCTCTCAATAACTGGATTCCTTGGCATCCTGCATATTGATTTGAGCTCCAAACTCTAAAAATACCCATGTGAATATAGCTCCTATCCTCGTCTCAAGTGTTTCCTCTTTTTTTTTTTTTTTTTTTTTTTTCTAACTTGGTTCTAATCCTTAACCACAACAAACAATTGCATTCTGTAAAGCAACATTCTGAAAACATGCTCACACCACTACATGCACTCCTGGGGAGGGTCTACAACATGCTGAGGTAGGACATGCACAGTTCAATGAGTTTTCAATAACGTTGCAGAGTTTACAAGGGAACAAGAGAGCTATTGCTTTTAGTCAGCACTGTACAACAAAAAGCCTGGACAGCAAAACAGAAACTGTCCTCACTAGGCAAAGATGACCTACTGACCAGTATATATCTGTTCCTATATTCTCATTCAGCTACAACACAGAAGAGATTGTACTAGCACACTCTAAAGCAAACACAATTTAAGTAGGACATATTAATGTAGCAGACTGTTATCTGTAAAATTCAATTCTGTTTTAAAACGAAGTTCCTTTGCGATGTAATGCTTGGTATCTTTTCCACTTTCACTGACAAGGATCTCCATCCGTTTCTATAAAAAAAACAAACAAAACAAAACAAAAAAAAAAAAACCAAAAAAAAACACACACACAAATGAACACTAAAGAAGAATCACTCAAAAGTTTGCCTTGTAATGAAAGCTATGACCAGGCTTCTAGGCCTCTATTTCTCATTCTTTTTCACATACCAGCAGTTAAGTTAACTTCTGCTGGTAAATGTAGCATTCACACATCACATCTACTTATAACAAGATTATAAAACAAAGAAAAGAAAAATGATTACAAACCTAAGTTAGTTTGCTACTGTGAGAAAATACCAAGTAGCTGGCATTTCAGTTTTGAGACTAGGGCAGTATCTTAATAGAACTGGGAGGATTTCCTGTCATGTGACACTTGAAAGCTGTAGTAGCTTTCAATTTATCTGTTCTGTTAAAGATCTGAACATGTACTGGAAACAGCCACACATCTTAGTAAAACTGAGCTGTCATACAACTTAACTAATCAAACTGACATTTTATAATGTACCACCAACATTTTGGTGCTGTGGATTCATACATGATTTTTCCCACAATCAAAGCAATTTGGTATTTATGACATTAAATATTCTTGTAACCACTCACATCTCTGTATATTACCACCATAGTTGTGCAAATGATTTCCCGAAGTGATACTACCTGTTCCTAGTACCTGGAAGTAATACGGCAACAATTGCCAAAGATCTGGGGTATCCAGTGGG